ATTATATTAACATATTACATCAACACATTATATCAACATTTACATCAATATATTACATCAACATATTATATATCAATCAATATTACATCAATCTTATATTATATCAATATTATATCAATATATATCAATGTTATATCAATATTATATCTATGTTATATCAATATTATATCAAATTAAGGATTTTATATTACTGTAATTTATGATATATATCGAATCCTCACTATATTGAGTGTTCACTATAACAACATATTTTAAGTGCAAATTATTTTATGTAATAATACTGTATATATATATACATATATATATATATATATATAAATAATTAGTCAAAATAGATTCTATCACACGTCAATTAATACAATAAACCTTTTTATACTATACGTTTAAAGTTTTCAACTTTAAAAAAATAGTATTTTATTTCATTGATGTGACGGAATACTTTTTGAGTGTTGACGCATATATATCTGTATATTCTCTTTAATTCAACCAAATAAAATAAGATTCAACCCGAGTATTTACTCTGAGTTTTATTTTTATTTTTTGAAACAACGACAAATATTTAAAAAGTGAGTTAGGTTATTATATATTATTGTTATTTTCGGAGTCCAGTCTGACCTCTCTATAGTCACATTCTCTATAGCCACATTCTCTATAGTCACATTCTCTATAGCCACATTCTCTATAGTCACATTTGCTCATAATCTCAACTTTTTAAAAACCAACTTATATAATACTTTTAAAATTTACCCTCTATATAAGTATAAGCATAAAAAAAAGAGTGGATTATAGAGAGGTTTGACTGTAGTTTATTTAATTAGGTGATTTAGTAGGTGATTTAGAAGAGGCCAGTCACTTTACTTAGAACTACATATATAAATAATTCTTGAACTAGGTGAGGTCTAGGCCCTTTCTAGTAAATTAGTCCGAGTAGGTTAATCCGAATGTAATTAACTTTATTATAGATTAATATATAATATATATATATTTATATTTATATTAATTACTCTATATAATAAATTTATGTTAGACATAATTTATCCAGGGGTATAATGGTAAGACATCAATGACAATCGAAAAGTTAACTTTAAATAATCTTAAAATTTTAGGCAAGTTACTAAATAGCCAAAAAAAAAAAAAAGTTAAAGCTTGAAATAAGATTCGTTTATTTATTTTTTTTTTCTAACAAAGATAATTCGAATTTTTATCCGATAATTTATAGCTACCAATAAATTTTCATAAAATATTATCTAATGTTTGCATGATCTGCTTTTATAACCCTGCACACTACTGTTATGCGTGTCATGAAACTTGATAGAAAGCTCCGATGTCACTGTACCAACGACAGTACATTTATGTAATACGAATTCAGTCTTTTCTTAAGCGTATTTTAAGGAATATACGCCTTTTTGATCGAGATTCATTAAATGTAGGTTTTAGACTTAAGTAATCTGCGGATCATTCATTGTATAAAAAGATGACATTCATAAATTATATAAAGTTGGCATTCAGGGTCAAAATCTTGTTAAAATTTGAAAAAAAAACGAAAAAACTAAAAAAAAAAACGAAAAATCATTATCTTCAATAATATGAGCGAAATACTAAATATTATTTAAATCCTTGTATTTTTAATTTTTTTTTTTTTTTTTTATTATTTTTTTTAAATAATATTGAGTAACCTTCGATTCTTTTGAATTTATTATTTCAATATAAAAGTGATGAAAAAGTTTATATTTATGTTATTTAAATATCAGTCAGTTAAAGTTAGCGCATGACAGAGAAGATCTTGTAGCACGAAAATCTCCATCAGTGGAATCAGTACCATGAGAAAAACATCTATCCGAATATAATTCTCGAGAAATATTAGGATTATTATGAAAGATATTCGCATCATTATATAAATGAATTTGGGATTTCACTCACCCATTATAAGAATACTAATTGGCTTTCTTCTTTAACACAAATATTATGTGACAACAATAACAACATCTTTTGGTGATGAAGCGTAATATAAATTAATACAAATATGGCTTGGCTTAACCAGAAAACTTGAAATAATTCGCCATTTGTTCGATCACGTTACACTTTTTGCTTGACTCGTTCCTGATCATGTCAGGGGCCTTAA